GCATCGGGTCATAAAAGCGATTGAGAAATGAAAGGACACAAACCGTTAGTTATATAGTTACTGTACAGAGTGAGAGTATTCCCTAACGCGGAATGTTGGCTGTGTGTTTGATGAATGTGGGAACAACACACTGTCCAGACTGAGACTCTGTGGAAGATTTTTTCCCCGTCTCATTTGGTCACCTTTTCAATCCACGAATACTTGCAGAATTTTATTAAATCATAAAATCTTGACTTTTATTTGTGATTGTTGTGGAATCCACGTCTCGGTTTACGAAAATCAATCGTTATTACAAATGACACATATATTATTATAACGGATTCATAGCAACTTCACACATACCAACTGCACTATGATTTACGCTTAACTTGATATGATACAAATAGTCACACGATAGAAGATTAAATCCAGGATTTATTCCAACAAACACATGCAGTCTTTATTATATAAATTCGACAATTTATATAAAAACGAATTCAATTGGACTTTGCACATTAAAAGTCCAATTTAATTCCTGTAATGTCATTGTCAAATGTATATAAATGTTTGGTTCTATTTAATATTTAACTCTTTTTTCCAAAGAAAACGAAACGAAACGAAGGATCTGCAAAACAAATCGATCACAAACACATTCAAAAAACTGTAAAATGTCAAAAGGATAACCTTGATATTCACCTGTTTATCTAAAGTATATTTACATTTTAAATATTTTAAGCTCACTTTATTTTAAATGAATTTAAGACAACACGTTAGATTTATGACAGAATTTTGCCCGTCCTATTATGAATGCAGAGAGCCTTTACCTTCATTAATCTAACAACTAATAAATAAAATAGGCAATATTCAGGAAGCGAATTCTGTTTATTTTGCTGACAGTTGGTTTTATGTTCTCACATTGAATAACACGCGCTTCCAGCCAGGATTGTGTGAACTTCACACCCGCAACTATAAAGTGAACATGATTATTCTTTTTGTTTGAAAGGAAGCATTAAAAAAATCCTTGCATTTGATACAGAGCTTTACCATAGGTCTCAAAGCACTTCCAGTAATTACGGTAAGTGTAGTGACTGTGTATTTTGTAGGCCAATACAGGAGCCAATTTGCACACAGCAATATCTCACAAACAGTCAGGAGGTTAATGATCAATGTAACTGAAGGATTGTCAGCCAACACAACAGGAAACATTCCTTTAGCAATTGTTTCATGGGCTGTTTAAGGTTCACCTGAACAGCCTGAGTAGACGTGGGTATAACGTCTCATCCTAAGGAAGGCGCTCTCAGCAATGTCACTCTCCTCTGGCACTGAAACCTGAAGCTTGAACCCACAACCTTGGTGCCTCCCATCTCCACCTCAAAGAGGTAGATCTTGAGATGAACCTTGAATGAGATGAGGGAGTGTATGAGTCGGAGGGATTCTGGGATGGAGTTCCAGAGAGTTGGGGCAAAAAGGTTTGAAGCCCGCCCACCGATAGTGGGGTACATAGGGTGGGGGACATGAAGCAGGCTTGTGCTCGCTGAGCGAAGGAGGTGGCCGGGTCAATAGGGTTTGAGGAGGTTGCAGAGGAACTGAGCGATAAATGGAGACGATGGACATGTGGATCTCAGTGTACAAACGACTACCCAAATTTCACCTAGTCTTATCATACAAAATGATTGTGTCTTAAAATTAAGATTGCAGAGTATAATGGAAAATTCTTCAATTTTTTTTAATTTGGAAGCTGGTTTCTTTTTAATAGCTCCCAAATTAAGACTCAATTTAAGAATTTTCCACAAACTGAACAAACTGATCTCACAGGTGGAATTTTAAACCTCTGTTGTCTACAAAGCACCTGGGCAGCTGGTTTAATTCCATAATTCTATCAAAATTCAACGATTAAATCCATAAGACTTCAGTTTGTATCTTTACAAGTTCCATATTATAATACTGGGGCAGTAGCTGAAGACTGCAAATCGTATCTCAATAAGAAAAAGGAAAGCCACGTCCAAGAAACTGCAGGCCAGTTTTATGTCTAAAATGGTGGTTTGATGCAATTCTCTATTGTATGAGATACAATTAATTTATGAATAAATGTATGTCAACTGGAGAAACCATTTATCTGTTCTTTGGTGCACGTGGTTATTTTGTTATAATAATACTAATAATAATCCTTGCATTTGATATAGCCCCTTGTCACATCTTCAAGATGTCTCAAAATGCTTCACAGAATATAATAATAATAATAATCCTTGCATTTGATATAGCGCTTTTCACGTCGGGAGGACGTCCCAAAGCGCTTCACAGAACACACTGTAAAATGAATTGACTGTATATTTTGTGGGTGAAACACGGCAGCCAATTGTGCACAGCAGCGTCCCGCAAACAGTCATGGATTGAGTGACCAAATTATTATGTTTTTAAAAAATATTTTTTGAAGGGATTATTACCCCCGGAAATGTGACCCGCCAATCGGCTAACAACCGGGTTCCTACTTACTTCTAGGTAAATAGAGTCATGTGGAGTAAGGAAACTTGCTTAAAGTTTCGCCCTGCCCAGGCATCAAACTCAGGTCCTCTCGCTTGTGAGGCAAGTGCTCTAACCATTAAGCTACAGGGCTCCGCAGGACTATATTGATATTGCCAGAATGATCCCAAGAATTCTACTCCAATAGTATTTACTTTGAGGTGTGCCCGAGCAAGGGCGGGCATGGCTCACGTAATTTGCAGACGGGAAGTTTCTATTTGCAAACTTCCCATTAGAAATATTGTGTTTTAAGTCCCAATATAAGGGCCAGAACGCATCTAGAAGCAACAGGTCATGTCTTTCTAACCGATTGCAACCCTATGAAGTGGTAACAAAGCGTGACCTATTGAATTTTCAGGCTTTTGACAAAGTTCTTCATGTGACTCTAATAAAGAAAGTGTGAGGCTGATGGAACAGATGGCAGATTATTATCCAGATGGATTAAAACTGGCTGAGCAATAGGAGACAGGGGGTGGGGAGATAAATGACAAATAGTGGGGATGGGAAGTAGAAAGCAATGATTTAAAATAAGGCTCTATTGTGAGACACCCGCTTCACATTCATTACACTATTTGTGAATGATGTAGAGCTGGGCTTCTTCACTAGTTTACTGATACCCTCAGAAGCTATGTCGCCAGAAAATAACAATAATAATAATAATAAAAATAGTCCTTGCATTTGGTGCAACGCTTTATCATGTCTTCGAGATATCTCAAAACGCTTCACAGAATATACTGTAAAGTGAATTGACTATATTTTGTAGGCGATAACATAGCAGTCAATTGCGTACAGCGGTGTCCCACAAACAGTCGTGGCTTGAGTGATCAAATTCTTCTTATTCTTTCTCTCTCTCTCCAATCTGGGCACTTTGGCTGCATTGTAACTTCACAGAATTGTAAGTGGGATGGACTCCTGAGCTGAGGTGCGGGAGGGTGCATTGGGAAACCCATGCAAATATCTGCTGAATTCAATATTTGCCAAACCTTTTTATTTATCCTGTAAATACAGTGGAAAGAAGCAAACGCAATTAAAGTTCCGACAATGGAGTTCATACCTATACAATTCCACCGGTGATTTCTCTCGTTGTGTAATTGAACTCCATATTACTACAATATAAATTTAATATAGAGATATATTATATAAACATATATAAACATTTAATAATCCTTGCAATTTGATATTGGGCCTTATCACATCTTCGAGACGCCTCGAAGCACTTACACCGTAGAAGCACTGCCGCCAAGTGAACTGAGTGCATATCTTACAAGAACAAAGCAAGTTGTGTGGCTGTACTGTACCGTAGGACAACGCGCTCGGGGGTGGGGGTGGGGGGGAGGGGGGGGCTCGGCTTCTGCTCCTGTTTGAGTGAGTGACTTGTGGGACCAGATCCGAAGTGTATCCAATGGAAAGGAGAGCTGCCACCAAATGGGCGGGTGGGCGCCGCGCAGATTGACGGGCACAGTGTTGCCGGGTCCGGGTATTTACCGGTGCCCTTCCCTGCCTGCCTCATCATCATCATCATCATCACCACCACCTCCTCCTCCTCCTCTTCCTCCAGCACCACCACCACCACCTCCAGCCTCGCACTGCGCGGCCACTCGCACCCGGAGTTCAAGAGCAGTCGTCTCTCTCTCTCTCTCTCTCTGTGGGATCTTAACGCACACCACCACCACCGCTCACAGCGGCGTTGACACCTCAGGAGGAGCCCAGAGACACCTTCGCTCCCGGTTTTCATGCGCTTCCCACTCACTCTGTGCCGCCGTCTCGTCTCTTCGAGGTGCCCCCGACTGCTAAAGCAGCAGTTGTTTCAGGTCAGGGTTCGGGGTGACCCCCCACTCCCCCCCCCAAAAAAATACTTATTTTACTTTTTTATATATATATACAGTACAAGAAACCAAATGTGGTTACATTGAGAGGCGTTTAAAACGTCTCTATTCTGCGCGTAATGCTCTCAGCAACTTTGTAAAAACTTCTTTTTGGGTATAAAAAAAATCTTTTTTTTTAAAAAAAAACATCAATCGGCCTCACCAGTAAATCGGTCTATTTTGTAAACGATTTTTTTTAATGGTTTATTTTGTGGTATAAAGAGGCTCTTTGTGGAAAAAAAAACCTCAATTGCCACAAACAAACAAATACATAAATAGATTTATTTGGAAACGATTTTGTCTCATATATATACAGAGAGAGAGAGAGAGAGAGGGAGAGAATCTGACGCGTGTTTTGAAGCTTTTAAAAGCATTTTTGGTTCTGTTAAATATTTTTTTTTGGGGTGTGGTGTGGTGTGGGGGTGTGGGGGTGTGGGGGGGATCATGTTTGTTGAGGTGCGGGTGGGGGGGTGTTGTGCGCCGTCCACTCTCCCGGTTCTGGCGACATTGCACAGGCTCTGCATTTGACTGGGAGTCGCGGCGCATTCCCCCCTTCCGATCGGGTCCCACAGCCCCACGTCCAAAGCCCTTCGCGCCCTCTCATTCCCAAAGCGGGGACCGGCGTTGCGACTCGCCATGGACGGCAGGTCCTCCCTCCCCTCCTCCTCCTCCTCTGCCCAGCCCGGCGGTGTGCCTCCCTGCCCTCCCTGCCCCTCGGCCGTGCCCGTGCCGGGCTCCCTGCTCCGGCCCCCGGCGCTGCTGCTCCGCGCGGCCGCCGCCGCCGCCGCGGCCGCCGCCGCCGCCGCCTCCGAGCGTTATCCGCGGACCCCCAAGTGCGCGCGTTGCCGGAACCACGGCGTGGTGTCGGCGCTCAAGGGCCACAAGCGCTTCTGCCGCTGGAGGGACTGCCTGTGCGCCAAGTGCATGCTGATCGCCGAGAGGCAGCGGGTCATGGCCGCCCAGGTGGCCCTGCGCCGGCAACAAGCCCAGGAGGAGAGCGAGGTCCGGGAGCTGCAGCTCATGTACGCGGGAGCCGGTGCCGGCGCGGCTGCAGAAGCCGGACTGGCCATGGCCGCCGGCATCGCCGCCACCGGCATCGCCACTCGGGGAGCCCCGCACTATGAGGCGTACGGAGCAGCGCGGGATGAGCAGGACCGGAAAACAGGTGAGAGTCGCGGAGGAGGAGGAGGAGGCGGCGGCTGTGCGGTGCGTGTGCGTGTGGCGCGGGGGCTCCGCTAATTCACTTTACAGTGTGTTCTGTGAAGCGCTTTGGGACGTCCTCCCGACGTGAAAAGCGCTATATCAAATGCAAGGATTATTATTATTATTATTACCCAAGAGGTTCTGGGGGGGACTGTTAGGGAGAGGGGGAGAGAGAGAGAGAGCGCCCGTAAAGGTGTGCATTCGGTCGGGGCGCGGATGGTTATTTACTCACGTCTGTTTATTTTGTTTTTATGTTTTATTTATTGACATTTATTCATTGACATTTATTTATTGACATTTATTAATTGATTGATTGATTGATTGCACGTTTATTTACTCTGGTCCCGGTGTGTGTCCGGGGGTTATAGTGGGCGGCACTCGCTCCCCAGCCTCCCCCCCCGGGACTTGAACTCGCGTCGCCCGTGCTGACCCTCCAATGCGGTGCTGGGCGGCTGCTGCATGTTCCCGGACGCTGTCCTTGGGACGAGAGGTCAAATTGTCACCGCCGCCGCCGCCGCAACGACGACAACAACAAAATTACGTTTATACCGGGGTGCCTTTCAGGTCGGGAGGACCCACGGCGCTCAGACGACTGAGGCTCGTAGACGTCGGTTAGGCGTGAGGTATCCGGGGATATTGAGCAAAGGCGGGTAAACAACAACAACAAGATTCCATTTAGAGAGCGCCTTTCACGTCGGGAGGACGTCCCAAGGCGCTGAGTTGAGATACAGAGCGGCTTTGACCCGAGTAGACTGGAAGAACGGGCTGGAGGGGGCTGAAATGCCTGGTCCTGTTCCTGCGTTCCGATTTTCCCATCTATCTGTTCTGGTGGACCTTAAAGATCCCACGGCACTATTCCAAAGGAGAAGGGAACTTCCCCCCCCCCCCAAATAAAATTGATCACTCACGCCATGGCTGTTTGCAGGACATTGCTGTGCGCAAATCAGCTGCTGCATTTGGCCACAAAATGCAGTCAATCTACTTTACATTATATCCTGTGAAGAGCTTTGAGTGAAGTGCGATATCGAAAGTAAGGACTATAAGGGATTATTATTATTTGTATCTTACCTTGGGAGGATATCTCAGAGTGCCTCAAAGAGTACTAGATGCAAGTGACCTCTGCCAAGCATATATGTTGTCAGAAGGGTCAATGTCTTGACATTGCAAATTTCAAAGTGCCGGGTAAAATCAACGTAATGATCCCGCTGTTTGTTACTGATTGTTCTGCACACGGTTAGCACCCACCCCGTTGCAGATTTCATATCGACTGCTGGCAAATCATTGTATGGGTGAAGCATCACCGGGTAGGTACATTTGCATCGATTATTTCGTGAGAGTTCTGTGGCAATTAACATAGCACTTTGCCTTCTGCGCATCTTGGAATCCAAGACTCGGTCCAATTATTTCCGTGCAGGTAACTGTAAAAAAAACACCTTTCCCGCAGAATAGGGCTCACCTCCCCTGTATTTTACACGATGGATCATTTATACAAGCACCTATTGTTAATCTGAATGACATAGTGCTGAAATGACAGTGTGACCAGTATGTAATCTTAACAGTTAATAATAATTGTTGCAGTTAATGTAATACCTTATCACGTATTCGAGACGTCTCAAAACGTTTCATTATATATATATATATATTGTAAAGTGAATTGGCTGTATATTTTGCAGGCGATCAATATCGAAATACTCATCCTAAATGGTACAAAGCATTGTCCCAACCTCATCCCTTTCATCTCAATTTGTAATTTTATTCACGTTTTTTAAAAAAAATTCTGGTTCATTGTTTGAGTAATCGTTTACATGAACTGGGCAGTACATTGTATCTTTATTTAATACATCGCCCTCAACAATGGTTGTAAAACATCCCTGGGGTCTGGCTACGTATCTCAAATGAGGTGCCAATTCTGATTGAAAGCTTTGTAGTGGACGGAGAGATACCTCGTGTAGATAGAGCAGCATTGACTTTAGTGCAAAGGATCAGCCTCAGGGTTTAGCTTTTACGTGTTTCAATCACTTTATAGGCAGCTTTACGAAGAGCCAATTAGCAGAAAGTCGGACCTTACCAGTCAACCGAAAGAGCCTAAAATTTGGTCACATCACCCCAGGCCCACCTACTCTTTCCTTGTTTCTGTAACTGTAAATAAATCAAAGGTCAGAGACTACAATCTTCAACTGCTCTCAATTCATATCTTATGAATGTATTAATTCATCCTGATAGCTGATGGGTTAAAAGATGTGTGGAGGAGGGAAATATCTTAGTAATTAATATTTGTAGCTTCAAATAAAATGTTGTTAGAATCCTAATTCTGCCCCCTTTTAAAAATAAAAATCAGGTTTATAATTTATCAGTATTTGTGTTGGGGGAGGGGGTGGGGAGGGGGTGCAAGGCAGTCTTCCTGAGACTGCATTTGATATAGCACCTTATGTTGTTGAGACGTCTGCTTCACACGGTGTACCGTAAAGTGGATTGACTGGGTATTTTGTGATAATTTTGTGATATTTTGACTTCAGTAATAATCTCGCTTTGAACAAATGTTATTCAGCAAATAATAAGTATTGTTTTGCTTGCTGTCATTTAAAGTTTATTCTTAGACAGATGTAGCAAACAGAAGTTAAAAATGTAAGCATACAAAAGTTAACATATGTGCTAAGGTGCTATATAAAATGCAACAATTATTATTAACTGTTAAGTTAAACTGTGCCGTTTCGCTTGTCTGTAGATATGTAACAATCTTTGACCAATTCATCCCCAAATGAGTGGACTTGGACTAGACTCAACGGATGCGGATCTGGGATGACAACTTTTACTAAGATTATTCATGTGATCACAATAAAAAATAAACTAGACAAATTAGACATTTATTTAAAGTTAAATAATCCAACGCAAGTCATAAGAGATTTGAAGAATGTGGTTCAAATGAATACAACAGATAATTAAAATGGCTTTGTATTTTTAAAGGCTCTAATTCAATCAGCCAACCATTGTGGTTATGTTCCTTTACATTATAAAAACCTATGCAATTTTTACTGCAGACCTAGATGTATTAATTAAGCAAATAACAGTGACAGGTTTAAATATGCAAGTGTAATAAGTTTGCATTACGTGTAATAATATTATCAAGGCTGGGTTAACTTCATCCAAAGTTTTTTTAAATATATATTCTATATATTAAGTTGCTCACTAAAGTGAATGTGGCGTCATTAACAAAAACCACCTATTTAGCTGTTAGAGTGCCATTAGAACAGCTTCAATCCTCTACATTAAATGAAGGCAGTGAAACCCTTGTACAATTAACAGCAATATCCCCTCGATGGCTTCTTGCAGAACCATTGTAAATGGATATTGTTCTAAATACTGAGAGATGTTGCCTGTGTTTGCTTGCTCGTTCATGTCATCTTTTTTGCTATTGAATGTTTTCACATTGGGGCTAATGTGGAACATATGAAATAACATTGATTTAAGCCAACTCGCTGTGGGTGTATTGTAATGCAATGTGTTTTGGTGGTTAATTGAAAGAGAGGAGGTAGATAGCGGTTAACACAGTGGTTGTGGATTTCCAAATGATAACAGGGGAAGTGGTGATAGGGAATTCCTGAAAGGGAATAAAATGCAGTTGTTTCCATTGTGTGGCCTGTTACCTTTGCAATAATGAAACAGAATATGTAATCCCCCCCATGCCCCATTGAATTTTTAACAAAAATATAGGATATATTAAATGATTTGAAAATAAATTGCAGTAATTCGCAATAACACAAGTCAGGAGAACCACTCTAATATCGGAATCTGTGGACTGAACAACATTTAGGGAGCTGAATAAAAATTGCGGAGAATTTAATTAGATAAATGGATCTCAGACTGTGAATATTCTGCCTGTGCATCCTTTTGGGGAAGGATCAGTTAAGCATTTTGAACGTTATCAAAAGTTTCACCCACAAAATATATACAGTCAATTCACTTTACTATATACAGTATTCTGTGAAACGCTATTAGAAATTTCAAAGGCGTGATAAGGTGCTATATCAAATGCACAATATTCTGCCTATTGTACACAGGCAGAATATTTAGTAAATCAGCGAAATCTGGAACGCATACGTGCATTTTAAACTGAATGATGCAAAATGAACCTTGTGTAATATTGCAAAGAGAGAAGTTCTTATTCAAGCCTTCTACAATAATGTTTTCTAACATAATAATCCTTGCATTTGATATAGCACCTTATCACGCCTTTGAAATTTCTAATAGCGTTTCACAGAATACTGTATATAGTAAAGTGAATTGACTGTATATATTTTGTGGGTGAAACTTTTGATAACGTTCAAAATGCTTAACTGATCCTTCCCCAAAAGGATGCAAAACACCAATTAAAATATAAAAAAACAAATACATTAAAACCTTTTTTTAATATTTGGTCACTCAATCCATGATTGTTTGTAGGACTGTGTGCAATTGGCTGCCACGTTTCGCCCACAAAGTATACAGTCAATTCACTTTACAGTATATCCTGCGAAGTGATTTCAGATGACTCGAAGATCCGATAAGACATATCAAATGCAAGGATTATTATTCCTCTAAACTGGAAGAAGCTTAAAATCTAAGTTTAAATTGTTGCTTTGCTGCATTACGACAGGCAGTTTTCTTCCCTGGTAGAATGAACTTTAAAAGTACATTTTTTTAATGATGCATTGTTTCGAATAAATTTTATTTTATACTTCAAAACGTGTTTGTGACAAAACAAACCAGAGCCGGATTAAAATATTTCAATTTGAACATGCTTAGGAAGCAGGGAATGCAACCCATTATTGTAGTTATCATATCAGTCTATCATGGTAACTGTGTGAATGTTTAAACTAAACCTCTAAGATTTGCTCAGAGAGTACAGATGCATTGAATAGGAAACTAACGGTGAAGGAAATAGATGGGTATGAGAGAGAGGAGGAGTGAGTGGAAACTCGTGTGGTGTACAGAAAAAGTATTCTTACATCCATCCTCCTGGTATAATTCAAACCCTTCTTTGATGCAATTAAATCAAATTGTAAACCAGAACGAAATCTGAGAAACTTTATGTGTGATGTCTAAGATCCTGCTTTTCACAAATTGCGTATGATTTAAATAAAAAAACAAATGTAACAGCTTTGTACTAAATGTAAGATGTGTTATGATACTTTTTCTAACCTCAGGTGTTTGTGCCTTGGATGTTAGTGCATCTTATTTCTTACAGTGGAGTCCCATAGCGCAGTGGTTAGTACTCCCGTAGCCTAGTGTTAGAGCACTCGCCTCACAAGCGATAGGACCCAGATTTGATTCCTTGGCGGGGCAAAACCTTAGCCAAGTTTCCTAACTCTACACGCCTCTGTTTACCTAACAGTAAGTAGGAACCTTGTTGTTGATCGATTGGTGGATAGTTTTCTGGGGTAATAATCCCTCAAAGAACAAATAAGAATTTGGTGACTGAATCCAGAACTGTTTGTGGGACACTGCTGTGTGCAATTGGCTGATGTGTTTCGCTTACAAACTACACAGTCAATCCACTTTACAATATACCCTGTGAAGCACTTTGAGACGTATCGAAGACGTGATAAGGCACTATATCAAGTGCAAGGATTATTATTATTTACATGACTTTGTCTGCCATCATTGATTTGTATGTCTATTTTGAATATTCCGTTTTCTTTTTTGCTAGAACAAAAGAATCAGAAATACCAACTCTTCTATAATGGGTTGGTGAGTCGATCTATCCTCCAGTCTTCACATCCTCTCATGTCCCCAACTCTGGTGCCTGTTATTCCGGACACAAATCTCCAGAACAATACAAGCAATTCCGATATTGTGGAAAAGGAATCTCCTTCCTCGGAACCTCCGTCAGAAAGTGCTGATAGCCCCCGGTCACTCACTCCTTCTGACATTGAATCAGGAAGTGAATGTGACAAACCTAAGGACTTGGCACAAGTCATGGCCAATCTCCCCAGCTCTTCCTCGAAGCACAGAGCACCCATTGACATCCTGACCCAAGTCTTCCCACGTCACAAACGTAACAAGTTGGATCACATTCTAGGGAACTGCAAGGGAGATGTGGTGCAAGCCATAGAGCAAGTCTTGAATGGAAAGGAACTCAAGGGGGATCCCAAACAAGCTGGGTGTACAGTGTCTGATTCTGGTGATCTTCAGCGACCTTCACACTTTACACTGCCTGGCCTTTCTGGTGGCTCTCTTGGGATGAAGTCAGCCTTCTCTCCTCTGCAATCCAACTCCTCCCCTTCGGTGCATCTACCAGCTTGTATGGGTTGAACCCCAGACTGGGCATCAATCCTCTTCGGCTGGCATACTCTGCCCCTGGCAGAGGACTCCCCACTTTCATGTCGCCTTATGTAACTTCAGGTTTGATGCCAGCGTTACCATTTCGCCCTCAGATTGACTATTCCTTTCCAGGTATCATGAGAGAGATTCCGTACTTTCAGAACAAGGAGGCACTCTGCTCCAATGGATTGTACTCGAGAGTTAATCAGGAAAATCAGTAACGGGTACCTATGAGTTAAAATTATTTGAAACAACGGACATAAATGGCACAGATTCTGAACACAAATAAATCTATGGATGCACAGAAGTTATAAAATCAAAAAGGTAGTTACACAACATCCATGAACCAATTCATCTCTTTGACACCAGACTGTTCATTTGATGTACTGTACATTGATGTTTTTTTCTATTGGGGCTAAAACATTATACTGATGTAACGGCAGAGAAACTGCATTGCTCAATTATAGGTACACCACTATAAGGATAAGCATAGACAATCTGCATTAATTTCCCAGGATATCAACTTAATATGAGAAGTTGCAAAGGACTTTAGTCGTTTAAAATGATCTCTCATCAGAAGATATTTTTGAATATTGCCACGATGAGCAATCTGTTACATTGGTGTGTCCATTATATATTTTTTTCTGCAGTGAAAATTTTCACTTGTTCTCATCACTGACTTCCAGACTAAAACATTGTATTCCTTTTTGCAAAAAGCATCAACTGAATGGATGAATATGTCCTAACCGAGGAACTAAGAACAATCCAAGAAACAGAGCGTGAAGTTCCTTGGGTGTACAGTATATTGACCCCACATTACCTTCGGTCAAACCTGAACCCAAAACACATAGTGTTGGATAAGTAGGAAAATCTCCAGATCCTTTCTGGACAAAGTGAATACATTTATGGTGCTATTCAGTCCATTAGAATCAATCTACATCTTTCATCTGATACTTTACCACAAATTGGCAGTGCATCAACTCCACACAAGACTTTACCTCAGTCCTTACTCTCTCTCTCCCCCTGCTCAATTGCTCAGTTCTATTGCATTGCTTTATGTGTTACCAGACTGCATCTTAAAATGTTTTGATTTGTTCATCCCAGGATATGGTATGGCATGGGGGAGAAATTAACTCAGGCAAATGAGTTATTATTCCCAGGGGTACATTAACATACCTCATTTCAAGGTATAGAAGTTGGGAAAGTAGGTGTTTAGTTGAGTTTAAAACCCTTTCAGGTGTCCAAACAATTTGAGGTTAGAACGAATCTGCAAATTGACAAAAGCTTTCCCCACACCATTACCTGCTGAATGTACTGAATAAAATGGAAGCTTTTAGAAGGGATTTCAAGTGGGCGTTTCAGTATGATTTACATGATCACATTGGGTGTTAGTGAACAAAGAAACAAATTCCACATTTTTTTTCAGGAAGACGGTGTTTCTTTATAACAGTTAACAGTTCTTTGAACTGTGTCCAGGTTCAACAAATGGACTGGTTAGCAATTAACAATTTTAGCAGTAATACAATACAGCACAAATTTACATTTACAACAATAACAAAATTACATTTGTATTGCGCCTTTCGTATCAGGAGAATGTCCCAAAGCGCTGGACGATCAGTGTTTCGGACCCGAGCTGGGGATCAGGATTGCAGAGGGTAGGGGGAAGGAGGGTGATCAAAGGCACGGTTGAAGAGGAGGGTCTTGAGATGGATCTTGAAGCAGGCAAGGGAGGGGCTGAGGCGGAGGGACTGCGGAATGGGGGCAGAGTGGCTGAAAGCTGGTGGGGTGGGCAAGGCAGGGGACGTGAAAGGTACTTATATAAGACCTTTCACATTGTGAGGATGTCCCAAGCAGTAAGAGCTACATATACATTAAATGTAATTCAGTCAAGTATTCCTTTGTGTAAAATGATGGAGCGGGTCACAGGGAACACATTTAAGTACCTAATCATGCCTTATGTTCTGAAGCTGGGTTGCTATTAAACAGGAAACTGTAGTACGTTTTTGTAGTCATGTTCCAAGACATATTTCAATGAGAAAAAGGGGCCTTATGATTGTTAACAAGAAATAAAATAAACCGATTTTTTTTAACAAAGCAGACTTATTTACTTTGTTCATTTATAAGATACTCTGAAGATGTCAATAAAACGTAAGACTTGTAGTTTCAGATTTACTGTTCAATGTGCAATCCTCACAGCTACAGAGAGACTGAGTAACAAATTGGTCGCAATCATTTGTGACAACATTATCATGAAACTTTCAGAAGAAAGTACTTTTTATATCTTCTTATCACGTCAGGGTGTCTGTCTTCACATACTTAGAGTCAAATGTTGGCTTTTCTAGGCAAATGAGGCACAGGGATCCATATACAAAGCTGGCTTCTCACACAACTTATGTATGAGAGACGTATGTCTGCCACATCACACCAAAAGATTAAGAATAGTTAACGTCTTATTAATTAAGGCTAGGTTGGGTATATTACCTGTATAAGATTTATTGATCAGATATCATTGATTTTTTTTAAAAAATCGGGTTTAGTATCATGTAGTATCATATAACATCAGTTTGTCTCAATAGGTTGCATTCCTGCCTGTGGGTTGGAAGGTTGTGGATTTAAGCTCAACAATCCTGGAACCCTGTTGCTCAGTGGTTAGAGCACTCGCTTTGCAAGCAAGAACCCTGGGTTCGAATCCCAGCAGGGTGAAACCTTGGGCAAGTTGCCTTACTCCACATGCCTGATAATAATCCCTCAAGAAAAAAAAACAATAATAAATTGGTTATTTCAATCCACGACTGTTTGGTTGCCACATTTCGCCCACAAATATACAGTCAATTCATTTTACAGTCTATTCTGTGAAGGGCTTTGAGACGTCTAGAAGACATGATAAGGCGCTATAGCAAATGCAAGGATTATTATTATTATTATTAACATCAGCACTTTGAGCTCCCAGTCTAGGTTAACAATCTAGCTGGTGTTGGAGGAGTTCTGCATTGTCGTAAGTGGCATCTTTCAAATTAGACATTAAATTGAGATCCTGTTTGCCTGTTCGCGTGGGACGGCCAGGGGGAGACATTAAATATCCCAAGACACGATTCGAAAAAGGGAAGGTAGTTCCTCCCAGTGTCCCGGCCAACAAACCTCCAAATAAATTGGTCGCTCTCTTCATGTCTGCTTGTAAATTGGCTGTTGGATTAGCCTTCAGATACACAGTTATTACACTTAACAGTAATTGCAGTGAAGCACTTCGAGACATTTTGTTGTTATATGTGCCCTATCAAATTTCAAGGATAATTATTTTGAAGTTTGCCTTCTCATATCGCTTCAAAATACAGAGCCATTACAGTTTGCAGCATCTTCTGGAAAGTGCTTTGAAATGTATTCCTGATAAGAAAGCTGCTGCATCAAATATAAGGATCGTTAAATTTGTTGAAGCACAGTGTTCATAACAATTCCACATGCCCAAAACTTTAGTTAATCCGCTAGCACCACAATGTGGATGTAAAACACACTGCATGTTGCACAGATCCAATAGTTCTGCAAACATTACAATTGAAGATTGGGAAGTTTGGTTTCACAACCAGAGGTACCTCACCCGAGTGTCCTTCTTCATCTATGAGTGGGAGTTTAAAGGTGATTCAACCATAGGAGTTATTCTATCTGAGACTGGTCCTGCCCTCACGCTGCAGCACACACATGCATTTTCAAGCAGGACTCACTGGACAGTGATAAGGTCCAGGAACTCTCCCTAATGCAACATTTACTAGCTCAGCATTTTAATCAGGAGCCCTGAGATTTTGACACTAACATCTCCAATGAAAGTAGTTAACAAAAGATTGGCCCTGGGAACTTTCTGGTGTATATGGCCCAGTACTATACCATTAGGATATGGCTTGCTTAGTTATAACAACAGCAACTAAATTAGGTGTGTGGAGTAAGGTTTCGCCCTGCCTGGAATTGAACCCAGGTGTCTCGCTTGCAAGGCGAGCACTCTAACCACTGAGCTACAGGATTCCATACGCCTAATAATAATCCCTCCAAAACAAAAAACAATAATAAATTGGTCATTTTCAATTCACAACTGTTTGTGGGACACTGCTGTGCGCAATTGGCTGCACGTTTCGCCCACAAATATATGGTCAATTCACTTTACAGTCCATTCTGTGAAGCGCTTTGAGACGTCTAGAAGATGTGAAAAGCGCTATATCAAATGCAAGGATTATTATTATTATTATTATTATTATTAACCAAATTGCATCTGTACTATAGTCCAGTACTGTAAGGTGAATAGGTGTCTCCTTACAATCACTTCATTTTGGTCAGCTGCAGGCTCAATCTATCACAAACTGGGCAATGATTAGGATTTTGCATTCCTAACCTGTGCACACCTACCCTAGATAAGGGACTCTTTCAAATCCTGAGTTTTAAATATAAAAATAACCCCTGCTTTTGACACAGCGCATGTAATGTCAAAATTGCTGTCAAGTATGGTGATTAGTATGGTATCAAATATAATTAATATTTACAGGAAACATGGCAGGCAATTTGCACACAGTAATGTCCCACAACCAGCCATGAAGTGAATAACCAATTATTCTGGCCAGGACACCGGGAGAGACTCCCTTCTCTTTTCAAATTGTGTCAAAGAATCTTTTAAGTCCACCTGAACAAATAGATGTGACCTTTATTCCAATGTCTCATCTGGAGAATGGGACCTCCAACAATGCAGCACACCTCTAGCTCTGCACTGTGAGCTTAAGTCCTAACTGGAACCCACAACTTTCTAACTCAGAGGTGAAATTACCATAAAAAAACAACCAAGTGAACCTATATCTATAAGGTTGTGCGTGAGCAGCCAGTGCCATCGCTTGCTGAAGACAGTCTAGGAGCAGGAACCCTGGCTGGTTTTCCCCTCTCTCGCTCTGGGAAGGTCGGAGGCCAATTTAGCTTTCCCATTCAACTCCAGCTGAGACCAGCAAACGCAGCAAAGACCAAGATTCAAGTCAGCAAGCTTCTGACCCACAAGAGAGAGCTCTATCTATTACATCAGTAGTGGCCAAAATGAATTTTCTTCATTGAATATTTCTTGATTTATGCCATAGATCAAGAAATGTTCAATCAAGAAAAAAACTGAAAACACACAATTGATTGAACACGGACTTACCTAGACTTGTGTGAATGTTCAGGGGCCACTTTTTTTATGGCCCCAGGTTGGCCACCCCTGCTTTACACATGGGGGAAGCCCACTGTTTTTGAGGATTGCTCAATAAGGAATCTGAGATGGTCAAACAGGGATTTAGCTCAGTACATTGTTTGCATGTTTAGATTGTAAAACAACAGGTAATGAGAAGAAAGTAATAAGAAACTGTTTTGACTAACTTATTGATCAGACAAAGTTCTGTCTTGTTCAGAAACCTGAGCCGGGTCAACCGTTTCTGTGAACCAGTGAAATCCAATCTGTGTGAAGAAGGACTGTTCAATAAAAAAAGGTTCTGCTCAGCCCTGGAATCCCCTGGAACTTTTCATTTGCCTTTAATTGGAAGGGTAGGTTTGTAAACATTGCTGTTGTGTTTAATCCATCACAAGCACAGACCTTGTGAAGCATTGTTCTGCCCCCACGTGAACCTTGACCCCACCTTTTGCCTGGCGGTGCCTCAGAAATGCTGCATATTTTTGCAGCCTTCACCTTGCAAACCACAATTCATTGGATTCAATGAATCCTTAAATTAATGTAAAATTATAACCTGTGTGGTTTTAGGAGGCATGCATGTGTAAGCACTCTATCCATTCCTTATCGGGGCTTTATACATGTGCAGATGTGGCTGTGTAATTATTTTGTACGGATGCTTGCATGTGTGTATATATAATATATAATAATAATAATCCTTGCATTTGATATAGCACTTTATCACATCTTTGAGACGTCTCAAAGCGCTTCAGAAAATATACTGTAAAGTTGAATTGACTGTATATTTTGTGGGTGAAACGCAGCAGCCAATTGCACACAGCAGTGTCCTACAAAAAGCCATGGATTGAGTGACCAATTGAGGGATGTCTAGAAGACTTGAAAAGCGCTATATCAAATGGAAGGATTATTATTATATCATATATATTTATCTATATGTGCATAAATTTTATATATATATAGCTTGTTAAAACATCTATGATGTTGAATTTCTAAAAGCATTTCACAGCAGTTACTTTCACATTTTATGACTTTTTGTTGGCAAATGGCACACAGCAAAGTCCCACACTCAGACATGAGACACACATAGACACACAGACATTTCACTTTATGGCTGTTTGTGGGACATTGCTGTTTGCAAATTGACTGTCGTGTTTTGCCTACAAATACACTATCACTATATTTCAATGTAAAAACTTGTTAAGCACTTTGGGATGAATCGGCAACATAGTAAGGCACTAAATCAACTGCAAGAATTATTTATTCATTCAACAATTAATCTGGAGGATTGTTGGAAGTCCCCTTCCCTTTTCAAATAATTTCACAAGATTTTTAACATCTACCTGAATAAGGACACTGGATCTTGGTTTTACATCTTATCCAAAGGAAGACATGTTCATTAAAGCAACTACCACTCTCACAGAGCGGCAACACACACTGTGAGCTCAAGTCAAACAGACGGCTTGAAAATACAACCCAGAGATAAGAGTGAGCCAAGCTAACAAATGCTTAAACGTTGCCTATGCATCCTTCTGTGTGTGGTTATATGAGTTATGGACAGGCAGTTTAACAACTATTTCAAGAAAGATATTGTCAATAATTTGGTATTTATATAATTTTGGGAAAAAAATCTCACTTTAAATCAGCTAAATAATTTATAGTCCACCTGGCAATGAAACAAAACACCAAGAAAATGGATAAATGCACTGAAATATGTAGAAGTTTAAGATTCAGCAGGTATAGATCGAAGATTTGGAAATAACGTTAATATGAAAGCTATGAAGAAGTGAAAGGATTGGAAGAAATTTTGTGATTTTGGTGGTAGAAATATTTGCCTACATGGCCACTGCCCTTTACAGTAAGTCCTTGAAGCACTTTGAGGTGTCCTCTTGATATGAAAGGAACTAAAACAAATGTAAGGATTACTGTAAGAAAGCAATAGACTGGTGCAAATCAACCTTTCAATGAGGCCGTGCTGATTTGGGGGACAAATTGTTTCAGAAAAGGTCTGGTCGTAAATTGAAACAAGCAATGCCATGACTTGGAGGGAAATAAAACATAGTATGAACAATTGAAGCCATGACCAGTCAAAGTGAAATTCTGACATATCTTTTTCTCAGTCTCATGTCGCCACTTAGTGGATGCACAGAAGATAGCTCCTAAATATATCAATGCACTAAATAACTTCTTCAATTTGATTAAAATTAAAATTTGATTAAGTGAATATCCAATAATTGAATATTTCCATTTATTGAACAGAATTTAGAAATTCCCAAACCATTTGCACACCTAATCGAATATGGAACAATTGATTGAATACTGGATATATGAATAATTTGGTTTATTGAATAATTTTTCCTGTGACCATTTGTACAAAATACAATGAATTGGAGTCAGGATAAATGCATTGTCCCAAATCACTCCATTCTACAGTGCAGTGGGAATGTCATTGGCCTCCTCTTCTCTTTCTCCCTCCCGTTCCTCGCTTCCCCAGGATGGTCGCTGATGATTTGTCGGTTGGCTAAAACATTCTCAGGAATGTTAGTTGCTTTTGTACATCCATGAGACATTTTTTTTTGCAATTTCTGAACCTGGTAGAAACATTGGAAACAATTTGTTACCACAATCTTAACTAGAATAACTTTAATAATTAGATGACTAATATTAATTATAGTAATTATTATTAATACTACAAAATGTTAATCACATGTATGTTCATTACTAATCATAATTACAGGAATTATTATTAATACCTTGGTAAACTTGTCCTTTTTCTGCTGCTGTCACTAGATGTTTCTAAGGTGTGTCATTTTTGTAAAATTATCAAATTGTTTGCAATTTGAGGTGATTTTTACAACATCATTGTGTTTTGTGTATTTTGCAGGAATGGTAATGGTTTAGAAATAATAATCATTATAATTAATAATTAATTTAATGTATTTGATATAGTGCCTTATCACATCATCGAGACGTTTCAAAGCGCTTCACAACATTTTTGTAAAGTGCATTAACTGTGTATTTTGTGGTTTCAAATATAATGCCTTTCACATTGGATAAATGTCTCGAAGCCCTTCACAGAGTCAGCAGTTAGGATGAGGCAAATCACACAGTTCAAGACATCTTACAATGTCAGGCACTTGTAACTGTATCGCTATTATGTGACTGGAGTGTTTGTACAGACACATAGATGTTATAATTGAGACTGCTCTTTCAGGTGGCATTATCAGTCGTGGCATCGTGGCACAAATTACTTAATAAAACTGCGATTGAGTAATAACAATAATTTTTGTTTTTGCATGTGACAGACCGCCAAAAATGTAATAACAATACAACTATTAGTCTGAAGGCTAGAATTATACTTTTAAACAGGTTCATGAAAAAGCCTGAGTTTAACTCCCAGGAGGCGGGGTTATGTATCAGTCTGGCCAATGTAAGAGACTTTCTGTTCTGTCACTGGTAGGCTGGGCAGAGCAGGTAAATACTGACATTGATAAGAAGAGGAACCACAAGGTTACCCCATTACTCCTCTGGGAGCCATTGTCCATGTACTTTATCCCAACATTTGATTTGAAATTGCTTCCGAGTCCTGCCACTTTGAGAAGTTGGGAGTTGTTTGCATGCTAAAAGGTACAGTTAGATCCAGTATTGTCTCTTATGTGGTTGGTATTAACCTATTTGTGATTTTCCAATTATTAGCCATTGATAGACAGACAGACAGACAGATTTACTTACTTGGTTTGGAATTGTCCGAGAATTATATTTAACAGACTATTCAAGCAGTAACATGTGGGAAATTCAGTTGTCAAGTTATATTTAAGTAGGTTGTGTGTAAAAATAATAATAATTATATTTGATATAGTGCCTTTCAAGTGGGCAGGGCGTTTCAAAGAGCAGGATTGACAATATTGTGCAATGCCTGTGTATAATAATAATAATCCTTGCATTTGATGTAGACGCCTCAAAGCACTTCACAGAATATATTTTAAAGTGACTGTATATTTTGTGCACGAAACACATGTGTATGTTGCAGTATTTAGTTATTTTTAGTAATGCACAGTATGTTTCATGTAGTATTGTTAATCCATTGCAGATTTGCATATAGATATTTAGAGTACAAAGCAGGGAACGGCAAAACTTTTGTTTTTTTAACAATGGGGACAAACAGAGAAGCATTTACAGTACCATTCATGAATTATGTTTTGCCCATAAAATGAGGTAAATTCACTTTACGGTATATTCTGTGAAGTGATTTGATACATCACAACATGGTAAAGATGCTATATCAAATGCGAGTGTTATCATTATCATACAATTATTCCAGGAAGCCGGATCACCTCGCAGTGGGAGCAACATGAAGCCTATTCTGATGGCTGGCTCCACTGTGGAGAAGGGAGTCAGGAAACCCAAGTGTGCGCGGTGCAGGAACCATGGCGTGCTGGCTTGGCTGAAGGGCCACAAGCGGCTCTGCCCTTACAGCGGTTGCGCCTGTGTCAAATGCATCCTGATCTCAGAGAGGCGGCGGGTGATGGCGGCCCAGGTCGCCCTGAGGAGGCAGCAGGCAGTGGAGGATGCCATGTCCCTAGGCTGCTTCTCTCCAGGCCCAGTGCTCCCCCAGGGAACAACAGCGCAGCACTACCAGGTCTCAGCCCGCAGCAAGCAGAGAGGAGCAGCAATGATTGCAGGTAAATAAATAGCAAAGTTTTAATGTAAGAAACTGGCTCACATACAATTTGTAAATAAATCCGTAAATAAATTTTGATTAAAATGCTAGCTACAAAAAAATTAAAATACCACTCATGTACCAAAAATAAAATAATAATGTAGAGTCCTGTAGCTCAGTGGTTAGAGTGCTTGCCTCAGAAGCGAGAGACCTGGGTTCAATTCCCAGCAGGATGAAACATTGGGCAGTTTCCTTACTCCACACGCCTCTGTTTACCTAGCAATAAATAGGAACCTGGTTGTTAGTCAATTGGCGGATCGCATTCCGAGGATAATAATCCCTTCAAAAAATAATTAATAATAATAATTTGATCATTCAATCCATGACTGTTTGTGGGACGCTGCTGTGCCCAATTGGCCGCCGTGTTTCGGCCACAACTATACAATCAATTCACTTTACAGTATATTCTGTGAAGCACTTTGGGACATCTCAAAGACATGATAAGGTGCTATATAAAATGCAAGGATTATTGTTATTATTACTCTTATTATTAGAACAAAATAACCACATGCACCAAACAACAGGTAGCTGGTTTCTCCAGTTGACATATACATTTGAATCACACCGTTTATATTATGAGCACAGAAAACAACACAATCTGCGTTTAAATATATTGGAAACATATAGATATTTAGATTCATAGATGTTAAGACTGCAACACCAACCAGGTCTCAGCCTGCAGCAAGGAGGGAGGATTGCAGGTAAATAAATAGCACAGCGAAGTTTTAATGTAAGAAATTGGCTTAGACAATTTATAAATAAATTTGCATTGTCTCTGGATCTGGGTTGAAAATAAATAAAATAAAGAACAAGCCAACTATTTGGATTGTTGATTAAAATGGTGCTCAGAAAATAAAAATAACACACATGTATCAAAAACAAAAGTAATAATAAAATAACCACAGAGGTTTCCCTGGTTGACATACACATTTCAATCAGCCTTTATATTATGGTCATAGAAAATCACACACTGCTTCAAAATTTATAGATGCTTAAATTAGGGCCATATAGATATCAGGGTTTTTCAAAATACTAATAATCCTGCACTGTAGCTCAGTGGTTAGAGCACTCACCTTGCAAGCAAGACACCTGGGTTCAATTCCAGACAGGGTGAAACCTTGGGTAAGTTTCCTTACTCCACACGCCTAATAATAATCCCTCCAAAACCAAAAACTATAATAACTTGGTCATTTTCAATCTACAACTGTTTGTGGGACACTGCTGTGCGCAATTGGCTGCTGCATTTCGCCCACAAGTATACGGTCAATTCACTTTACAGTCTATTCTGTGAAGCGCTTTGAGACGTCGAGAAGACGTAAAAAGCGCTATATCAAATGCAAGGATTATTATTATTATTAAATAATGGCACAGATATAAAGCAAATGTCAGTAACATGAGGGAAAGCAATCTTTAATTCTTAGGTGCCTACTGATTATTATACTATTATTGACTATTCCTGCTTCCCTGTCGTTGTTGCGTTGGAATACTGCAGGGTCCCTGACTCAGTCAGGCACTATAGCTTGTGAGTTAATCTTCCTCAAACCTTTTTTTTGAAGAGGAGCAAATTGTAAAGGAGATCAGGAAGTTTGGACTTGAATTAAAGACTACATTTGGTCAAATCGCATTTTGATGTTGCAAAATGTTTCTCACTTTAACTATCCACTGAAGTCAAGGGGGAATCGAGGAGCTGGTTAGTTCCCTAAAAGCAGCTCAACTAGTAAAATTGCTGTGTGTGTTTCTTTGTGTGTGCAGATGGACCCCAGCTGGAGGAGATCAAGGAGGAGGGCAAGGGAATGAAAGGGGAAAGACTGCAGAGTCAATGTGGTTGGAGGTGGCCAAGGAGTGACCTGAGCACAGACAGGTTAAGTCACTCTGAGATCCTGCAGCGCCTGTTCCCTGCTCAGCCTAGCTCAGGCCTCGAGCTTGTGCTGCAGGGCTGCAATGGAGACGTGGTGAAGGCCATTGAGCACTTTCTGTCAACCGGCGATGATGCCCGAAGGAATGTCCACTTTCTCTCAGTCATGAAAGAGGCGCGTTCTCCTATGCACAGCCCAATGAATCGGTTACATCCTCATTTGGTTAGAAAGGCATCTCTAGGCGGTACCAATTCTGCTTTCACACCACTGCAGGGTCCCCTGGCTGCCTTCACTTCAGCTGTGGGTGTCTCTGCAGACACCGTCTTCAGATCTGGATCAGGATCTGCCTGTGTTGACTCCAGAAGCTCATTCCTAGCTTCTCAGACTTTCCCTAGATTCAAATGTTCACCTTTAGGTCTTCTATTACCTCTCAGTGCCATGCCTGCTTGTTATCCAGTCACTTCCAATGACTCCTGTCTAGACAGACTATCCCAAAGTCTGTAATTCACCCACAAAATGTACAGTCAATTCACTTTACAGTATAGTCTGTGAAGAGTTTGAGATGTCTCGACGATGTGATAAGGCGTGTAACAAATGCAAGGATTATTATTATTAATTACTGCTTCATCTCTTTCAGAGACAAAAAAAATCTTAAAATGCAAAGAAGTTATGATTATTGATCAGATTTCCCAGGTAAAAATAATAGATTTAACTGTTTGAAACCAGTGCTGTGAGATAGTTTATAAAGTACACTCCTCTAATCTTTTTGAAATCCTTTATGGCTTATTGTTCTACCACCCATACTGTTAGAGTTAAACATCTGTCACCCTTTCACTGCAATACAAAGGGAAGTAATTTGGTCACTCAATCCACGACTGTTTATGGGACACTGTAAGCAATTGGCTTCCGCATTTCACCCATAAAATATTCATTCGAAGAAGTGATAAGGTGCTATATCAATTGCAAGGATTGTTCTTTTATTACAAATATGATGTCATTGTGTCCAGCATCAAGCTCTCCAAGAAACTATCCCGCGTGAAGCGATTCATATATATGCAAGTTGTTGTTGTTGTCGGGACATACACAAAAAGACCTGACCATCACCTATTTAAGACTGAGTATTACGAATCCTATCACATGGCTATCATGCTTTTACTGACTCCTCCATGTCCATTTTTAAGAAGAGAATGCAAGATGCAAAATCATTGAGTTTCGCTCCCATTATGTGGCGATACCAATTCAAGCCTGACAAGAATAGTTAACATTGCAAACAAAAATATTTCCTACCTCAAGTTTTAACATCTCAGGATACAAATGTGAACACTACAGCAAGTCTTTCGTCACTGTATTCCTTATGTAAAGAAGAAAAAGTTCTAATAAAATTCTAAGAAATTTAACTTGCTTGATGGTATGTCAAAATGATACATTTCATTTCATCGTCAAGGTTTATGCAAGAGTGGAAATGTGTTTTAAATAAATAACGCGCTGTGTTTATAAGAAAACAATATTTGCCTAGCTTATCACACATAATGAATTACTTTTAACTAGACTGTAATGTGAGCTAATCTGTACCATTCTACATATACCCATGAGATGAATGATATTTTAGCTGCGGTTTGTTTTGATGAATTTGCATGAGGAAGAGATATTGACCACGACACTGGGATCTTGAAGGGTACAGACCATTTACGGTGAGATAAGAGAGAAGCAATTTCGCTACTGTTTCTTCACAAAGTTCATTTAGTAGCATTTATGTCTATTTTCATTAAATAAACTTCAGCTTCACATGGTCATAAATCAATACAGTGGAAAGTAATGGAATGGATGCCAACTGAGATAAACTCATAGGGATGAGCAAAGCTGAAATGGCTAGACTGTGTCTGGGAAGGCATGAGTAGGAGAGTGATAATAGGCTGAGGGAGCGCCAGAAATAAAGCAAGATAGCAATACTTAGTGGTTTCAGGTTGCCTGCCTGCTGTGCTATTAAGTGGTTAATGGTTTGTGCTGCTCATTCTATTTTAATCAGTGTGGGCACCTGTTTATCGCAGCGAATTTACAATTGTGATCTAGAAATCCAAGCTCACACTACCTGTCTGGGTAGGTGTGTGTGTCAATCTGGTAGCACTCTAGCCTCTGAGTCAAAAGGTTGTGATTTGAAGCCTCATATTGGGACTTGGAATTATACAGTCTAAGCCAGGGTGGGCCAACCTTTTGGCTGCTGAGGGCCAGATTTGAGAAAAGTCCGTGGGTTGGAAGAACAATATTTTATCCTGATTGGCCAGTCCCATTGCCGAACAAAGCCTAAGTCCGTGGTACCGTCGCCTGATTGCCTCGGGGCCTGCGTGTCATTGTCTTTGTGGAGTCCTGTAGCTCAGTGGTTAGAGCACTCGCTTTGCAAGTGAGAGACCTGAGTTCAATTCCAGGCAGGTCAGGGCGAAACCTTGGGCAAGTTTCCTTACTCCACACAGAGCCTAATAATAATCCCTCCAAAAACCAAAAACAATAATAAAATTGGTCATTTTCAATCTACGACTGTTTGTGGGACATTGCTGTGCACAATTGGCTGCCGCGTTCACCCACAAATATACAGTCAATTCACTTTACAGTGTGTTCTGTGAAGCGCTTTGGGACGTCCTCCTGACGTGAAAAGCGCTATATCAAATGCAAGGATTATTATTATTATTATTATTTGTTCATTAGACAATGAAGGTGGAAATGGTTCGTGGGCTGGCTAAAATCATCCATTGGGCCGGATGCGGCCCATGGGCCACCAGTTGGACCACCCTAGTCTAAGTCAACACTCCAATGCAGTGCTGTGTGGGGGGGTGTTGCACTGTTAGAGATGCTATCCTTTGGATAAGATGTTAAAGTGAGTTTCCATCTGCCTGTTCAGATGGACATTAAAGAATCCCATGGCACTATTCAAAAAGAGAAGGGAGTTACTCCCGGTGTCCTGGCCAACAATCCCCTAAATAAAATTGGTCACTCATTCCACGGCTGTTTGTGGAACATTACTGTGCGTAACTGGCTGTTGCATTTTGCCCTCAAAATACACAGTCAATCCATTTTACAGTATACCCTGTGAAATGCTTCAAGACATCTTAACAACATGATAAGGAGTTATATCAAATGCAAGGATTATTATTATAATACACATTTCTTGGCAAATTAATTTATTAGTGCCCCCATTATACCCATAGTGGATTTTTGCAAATTGAGAGGGAAAAAAAAGGTCTGCTATAATCCATTCAAACTGACAGAAGTGGTAATTTCCTTGATGGCCAACAAATATCTGATAAAACCTTTCCGCATTTATTACTGTGACCCATGTCTCCAGGCAATTCTAGTCCTTGAGTAAAATATTTCTCTCCTTAGGTAATGACTAACTGCAGATGCTCTGGGAATGTTCGACTGAAGATGATTTATGAACTTATTCTGTTTGCACAAAGATACTTGAAAGTATTTTACCAGCCTGTGTAATATTTACTGTTTATTGCGGTATGGGGCACAAGTCTTGTTTGATTTTGTATCCATGTGAATAGAGCAAAGAAGGGGGGTTTACAGATATTATGCTGTATCTCTGAAGAAATCGAGAAAATTGGTATTGGGGAATGATGTCTCTCCCAATAAGTGGATTTTTTTTGTAAACCTTTATCATGATAATAATAATCCTTGCATATGATATAGCACCTTTTACATTGTGAGGATATCTCCAAGCACTTCACAAGATGTACTGTAAAGTGTAGTGACTATATTTTACGGGCAACTAATCTTGCAGCAATGTCCCACCAACAGCCATAAAGTTAATGATTAATGTTATTTGGAGGATCGTTGGTCATCACATCAGAAGAATCTCCCTTCCCTCCGCCCCCTGAGAAGCTGTTTTACCCTCGGATTAAAAAATACCTGAAGACAGTTGCTTAACTTACTTTCAGAGAATAGTGCCATGGGATCTTTAATGTCCACCTGAACATTGCCTCTATTAAAAATTGCCTCCTGTAATGAACCCCCTCATTGAATGTTCAGTTGGGTTTGTGAGTTTGCATACTGGTTTGTTTGCTTGCTATATTAAGCATTAACCCCTCAAACTATGCCCTCTTTATCTCTATATGGTTCAAGAGCAATGTGAATGGTAGATTAATAGGTATACTGTATATCAAGCGCTTTAGGACGTCTGAATAATTTGAAAGGAGTTATGTAATGGGATGGGATGCATCCTAGGTTGCTGAGGGAAGTAGGGTGGAAATAGCAGAGGCTCTGGCCACAATCTTTCAATCTTCCTTGGATATGGGAGTAATACCTGAGGACTAAAGGGATGCAAATGTTACACCCCTGTTCAAAAAAGGGGAAAGAGATAAACCTGGTAACTACAGGCCATTCAGCCTAACATCGGTGGTGGGGAAACTATTAGAGACCATAATCCGAGACAAAATGAATTTTCACTTGGAAAAACATAAGTTAATTAATGACAGTCAACACAGATCTGTTAAAGGCAAATCGTGTCTGACAAACTTAATTGAATTCTTTGATGAAATAACGGAGAGGATTGATGAAGATAGTGCAGTTGATGTAGGATATGTGGACTTTCAGAAGGCGTTTGATAAGGTGCCACTTAATAGACTAGTTGGCAAAATTGAAGCCCATGGGATAAAAGGGACATATAAAATTGCCTGGGAGACAGAAAGCAGAGGGTAGTGTGAATGGTTGTTTTTCAGACTGAAGGGAGATATACAGTGGTGTCCCCTAGGGGGCAGTATTATGTCCACTGCTCTTTTTGATAAATATAAATTGCTTGGACTTGAGTATAGAGAGAAAAATGTTAACGTTTGCAGATGACACACAACATGGGAGAGTAGTAAACAGTGAGGAGGATGGTAGACGACTGCAGGAGGACACAAACAGACTAGTGAAATAAGCAGACACATGACAGATGAAGTTTAATGCAGAGAAGTGTGAGGTGATGCATTTTGGGAGGAAGAACGAGGATAGGCAATATACAATAAACGGTACAGTTTTAAAGGAGGTTCGGGAGCAGAGAGACATGAGGGTTCAGGTCTCTGAAGGTGGCAGGTTGATAGAGCTGTTAAAAAAGCATATGGGATCCTTGGGTTTACAAATAGAGGCATAGAGTACAAAAGCAAGGAAGTTGCATAGCAAGGAACATTCAGCATAATTCAAAAGAAAGGAACATTCAGTATAATGTTGCTTGAAGAGGAAAAAATTGCAAGGATATGGGGAAATAACGGAGGGGTGGGACTGAGTGGGTAGCTATTCCAAAGAGTCTGCACAGCCACGATGGGCTGCATGGCCTCCTTCTGTGCTATAATATTCTATGATTCTATGATAAGTGAAAATTGCATTGTTTTGTAAATCCTTGCAAGTACTCTGCAACACACTTTAAGCACTCTGAGACGCTACCCTGCATGGAAGGCGCTATATAAGTGCAAGTTGTTGTTGTTGTTGTTGTTGTATCCTTGTGCTATGGGTGTTAATTCTCTATCTCT